CTCCCATCACCACAAAACACCACCTCTTGGATTAGGGAATTAAGAGGGGTCAATGGGGTTAAAGTACAGATCGATTATGATCTTATCGAACAGCCTCCTCCTGCTCTATCATAGGGGAATGAACTAATGATGAATGGTCTGTGTTCATACACCACAGCACTCCCATCACCACAAAACACCACCTCTTGGTTACACAGAGTATCGCCACTCCCTCTTAAACCACAGTGGTACTGGGGCCCTGCTAGTCCCTCGTAGGCGATGGGGTCTATGTGAAGCTGGGCAAGACTGTGCAGAGGTCACCTCCTAACCTGCAGGGCTGAACACTGACCCATCACATAGCAGGATCTACAAAGGACTTGGGTGTTGTGTGCTGACAAAAAGGAAAAACCCTTCCTCACTTTTTAAGACATCTGTCAGGTGGGTCACCGGTCAGCCTTCAGCTTTCGGGAGAAACAAAGCCCCAATCTGTTCGAGATTTCCTCTCAGTTCTGGTGTCAACCTTGGAAATCTCACCAAGCCCCTCTCCAGAATCTCTACACCCATTTAATCGGACGGAGACGAGCAGTATAAGCAAGATGAGATAACAAGGTGTAGAGCTGGATGAACACAGCAGACCAAGCAGATCAGAGGAGCAGGAAGGCTGACGTTTCGGGCCTAAACCCTTCTGCTTTCCTTTAAACTTTGGTCACAGGATCTGAGCGTTGCTGGTTAGACCAGCACTGATTACCCAGAGGGCAGTTAAGATCCCACCCCATCGCTGTGGATGTAGAATCACTTGCAGGCAGATTCCCTTCCCTAAGGGACGTGAGTGAACCAGATGGGATTTTACAAGAATTAACAGTAGTTACTAGGCCAGTGTTTTACACCGGATATTTGCTAACCTCACATGTCATCCAAACCCATGCCCCCAGAACATTAACCCAGGGTTCTGGATTACTAAGCCAGTGACGTGATTTGATTTATTACTGTCACATGTAGCGAGGTCCAGGGAAAAGTGTTGCCTTATGTTCTTTACAGGCAGATCGTAATATACGAGTGCATCAGGGCAACAGGAAAGTGCAGAATACAGTGTTAGAGCTGCTGAGAAGGTGCAAAGAAAGAGAGAGAGATCAACATTAACATTAAAGAGGTCCATTCAACACTCTGCTAACAGCGGAAGAAGCTGTTCTTCAATCTGTTCATAAGTGTGTACAAACTTTTATATCTTCTGCTTGACGAAAGGGGATGGAAGAGAGTATATCCAGGTGGGAGGGGTCTTTATGTTGGCTGCTTTCCCAAGGCAGCTGGAAGTGTAGATGGAGTCAATGGTTGGCTTGTGTGATGGACTGGGCTGTGTTCACGACCCTCTGTAGTTTCTTACAGTCCTGGGCAGAGCAGCTGCCATCCCAAGCCATGATGCACCCAGATGGGATGCTTTCTATCGTGCATCTGTAAATACCTATAAGAGTCCTCATGGACATGCCAGGTTTCCTTAGTCTCCTGAGGAGGTGGAGGTGTTGCTGTGCTTTCTTGACGGTAATGTTGACAATGATCACTGTACCATTGCCTCTCCACTGTATCTCTCCCCTTCCCCCTTCAAGGTGCTCTGCGCAGATGCCCCAAACCCTGACTCAGACTCCCACTAGAGCCTCTGCACCCCTACTCTATCCCTGCAGAAACATGGGCTACAGACTTAAACCCACCCATTAACCAGAGTCACTACCCTCAGCGATCTCCTGGCACGACGATGGTGATGATTACTTTAGGTAGCACGTGAGAGGTCCTCAGTAATTCCCTCCCGAACGGACACAAAGGACACTTGTGGAACTCCCCTAGCGCACCGGCTCACGGTCCTCGATCATGAAGGACAATCGAGACAGTTGGAGAAAACGCCGACGAGAAAAGCCTGGAAAAATAACTCACCACTCCCTTCTCCACAACCTCCTTGAGCTTCGAGCGGGTCATCTTGGGTTCCTGAAACAGATAAGTGTGAAGTGAAAACCGCGCAGGGAAGAGAATCAAGGTCCCAGAACCTGCGACGCCCTCAAGAATTAACGCCGCTGCTCCAGATTGGTCAGATCGAACACCAGCGATCGAAGACGGGCAGGGGGTGCTACAAGGTGGATGTGAAACCTGACCATGGTACTGCAGTACAGGAAAACACTGTAGTGGAGGAAAGTAGGTGCAATGAATGATGACAATACCACGAGGGGAACTGACGCCATTCGCTGCAGCGACAGTAAACCAGAGCCCTCACAACGGTGTCGCTGCCAGGCTTCAGGGCATCTCCTCACGCCTGGAAATGATCAGTGGGCTTTGGTGGGGGAGGAGGGGGGAAATCGAGTCATCCGAAGTCGGTACTGATGACAGAGGTACAGTCAGGAAAGACGGTGCACATCAAGAGGACAAGGAGCCACGCAATGAACCGTAACAGCAGGATCTTAGAGCTGTATCACTGGCACAGCCAACACCCAGACAGTGGTGGGGCTGGGGTCCTTGCGTACTGCCTGACTGGGAAAGGACGGATGGATTTAACAAACGGTACCCAGCATCCGGACGAGGTGGGGGGCACAAGGGGACAGGGACATGCGGGCACAGACACGGGCACGCAGAAACGGGGGGGCGGGCTCGAGGGGGCACAGACACAGGCACGCAGAAATGGTGGGGAGTTAGGGTTAGGGTTAGGGCTCAGGCACTTACAAACAGGTGCGGCTGCTCGGTATCGAAGATGGCTGCTTTCATCATGGCCACAACGTGCTCGTTAGTGATCACCTCCTACAGGAAATAACAGAGATCATATCACTCAGAGCCTCAGCTCCACACCTCTGACAGAGAGAACCCTCCCTATCTCTGTCACCCCCTCCCCATCTCTGTCCCCCCCCCCCGCCCCCCCCCCCCCCCCCCCCCCCTCCCTGTGGCAGTGCCCCCAGCCGTGTGCTCTCACGTGGAGGATGTTGCGAACGTTGATGGCTGTCAGGTTGTGCTGTTTGGCTCCATCCTCCAGTGCCTGCTCAAAGCTGTCATCCAGCTGGATGTCACAGTCTGGCTGCATTTCCTCCGCACCCTTCCCCTCTTTCCATTTCTTCTCCCGTTTCTGCGCCTTCTTCTTCCTCTTCTTGGTCGCACTCTCTCCTTCCTCTGCAACACAGCACAGCAACAGAACAAGAAGATAAAGCCGTGGGTTTTGCGTTTCCCGATAGCTCAGACAGTTCCTGTAAAAATCCGAACAGAAGGGTAATCTCCCGTGCCAGTTTGTACCATCTTCCCACTGGTCTTTGAGCTCATTGCCACTTTCCTGCCTTGGTCCAAAACCCAGCTCCTGAAAACCTATCGTGCTCAGTCTCGAGTGCACTCAGCAACGGGGCAACTACAGCCCTCTGGCGTGAAGGGACAGGGAGAGAAATGGTGTGTGAGTATGAGTGTGCACGAGCATGTGCGTATGCGCGCATGTGTGCATGCGTGTGCATATGTGTATGTATATATAAATGTGTGTATACGTGTGTGTGTATATGTATTTCTGTGTGCGTATATGTGCGCGTGTATGCGCATGCGCTGCGTGTGTATGTACGTGCGCGTGCGTGTATATGCCTGTGTTGTTGTTGAGACTCAACTCAGAACCAATAGCTTGTAGTTTGGTGGTAGCTGAGTGGGTCAGGACATTACAAGGGTTTTTGACCACAGGTGAGGGAGAGGTGCAAGACAGAAGTATTAGAACATAAGAACTAGGAGCAGGAGTAGGCCGTCCAGCCCTTCGAGCCTGCTCCGCCATTCAATAAGATCATGGCTGATCTTTTTGTGGACTCAGATCCACTTACCCGCGTTCTCACCTTATCCCTTAATTCCTTTATTGTTCAAAAAAAATCTACCTTATCTTTCAAATCGTTTACTGAAGTAGCGTCAACGACTTCACTGGGCAAGGAATTCCACAGATTAACAACCTTCTGGTGAAGAAGTTCCTTCTCAATTCAATCCTAAATCTGCTCCCTCTAACCTTGAGGCTATGCCCTCTTGTCCTAGCTTCACCCGCTAGTGGAAACATCCTCTCTACTTCTATCTTATCTATTCCATTCATAATTTTATATGTTTCTATAAGATCCCCCTTCAATCTTCTGAATTCCAATGAATATAATCCCAATCTATTCAGTCTCTCCTCACAAGCCAACCCCTTCAACTCCGGAATCAACCTAGTGAACCTCCTTTGCACCCCCTCCAGTGCCAGTACATCCTTTCTCAAGTATAAGTTCCAGGCAGGAAACCAAAAGAGGCAGGGAGATCCATCTTCCACGCCAGCAGCCAGAGTCACAACATTCCCGAAAGGATTGCAGTGAAGCTGGGTGGGCTTTTAACAATTATCAGTGATGGCTTCATGGTTATCATCATCCAAATCAGCTTTGTTTCCAAACTTTCAGCGTTTAAACTTCAGGGGCTGCCAGAATGGAATCTGAGTCTCTGACACCGCAGCCTCCACTGACATGACCATTCTGCCACCCACTCCTGTGAACGGGAAGGCGCTATGTAAATGAAAGGGGGCTGCTCTCCTCGCTCTGTCCCACCCTGTACCTACCAACAGTGATAACCAGGTTCCTCTCCCCTTCGTCCTTCTCGTCATCACTCGGAGGCCCTTTATGCGTCTCATGCGAGGACAGCCCATCTCTGTCTGACCGGGAGGGTGGTTCTGGTGCTATGCTATGACCAGGTTGTTGATTGGGCCCCTGGGGAGATCCAGGCCTCGCCAGCCCGGTAACTGCAGAGTCTGCTTCTGATGCCTGGCTGCTCAAGGATGGGGCTTCTGAAATAAAGAACAGCACATCGTCAGTTATGGCTCACTGAACCATCAAATATTGGTCTACCCAGGATATTCCCACACCAGAATGCACGCACAGATGTTACCAATCACTAGAATTGGAAAAGGATTTACCGTGTGATGTTTGGGAATATAAAAATCAAAAAGGCAAAACAAATAGGGATTGTCTGCTGTTTGCAAAAAGCCAGATGACTTTGGGAGAAAATGTTTTGAGGGAGATTAAGAGAACGTTTTGTGGCCGAGAACTGACAGACAAACAGACTGAGTCTTGGAAGGGGCCCAGGGCTGACGATCTAGCAACAGCCTCTGGTCTGAGGCAGCACGTGTTTTGCCACAGACTTGGAAGATGTGGACTGTTGGAACAAGCTGGTGAGAAGGAAACACTCTCACCCTCCCCCAAACCCTTTCCTGAGAGCCACGGGAATCTCCAGGCATCAACATCTCCGAGCGGAAAGCCAATCCCGAGACCTGTGCCTACTGACTGCAAAAAGCTTTAGTCAACAAGAAACGAAAGGCATTTCCAGACTATAACCTTGTTCTACCCTTTTAGTTTGGAATCTTGATCAACAGCGTTTTTCCTGGCTTTCCCACCACATGAGGAGAGTTGCCTCCTCTCGTGCTGTGTGTGTATGAATGTTCGTAAGCGTTTGGGATTAGTAGTGTATAATTTGGACTTGTACTTAAAACATACTTGTTTCTAACAAGCAATTCAGTTTTGACTTTACTGGTGGAACAGGTAACAGCCAACATTAAAGGACCCTCCGACCCCATTTAGAATCTCTTCCAACCTCTTCTGTCAGGCCGAGGATACAAAAGCTTAAACACACGCACCAATAGGTTCAAAGAATAAAAACAAAGTTGCTGGAAAAGCCCAACAAGTCTGGCAGCATCTGTGAAGGAAAAAACAGAGTTAACGTTTCAGGTCCGGTGACCTTTCCTCAGAACTCAAGAACACCTTCTTTCCCGCTGTTATTAGACCTCCGAATGGACCTCTCTAATTTCTCCTGACGAAGGAGCAGTTCTCTGAAAGCTTGCGATTTTAAATATGACCGGGTGCTGATGTGACTTCAGACTTTGTCCAGCCCAGTTGAACACCCGGCACCTCCACATCATGGTCCCCACTGCAAGAGAAATGTTGCTGTGTGAAGCCAGCAACTTGTTAAAAGGAGGGGGGAAAGGTTGTCTGTTGATCACGAGTCCAAACTAAAACGGTAGAACAATGTGTTAGTTTCACAACGCTTCTGGTTTGTTGTTGGCCACATCACAGATTCTGGCTTTTCGGTCCACACTGGGCTGAGACGGCCCGGGAATGACGGAAAGTGTTCCAGATCACCATTATAGCAATTCTCCTAGAGTGAGTGCGGACCTCACCTGCTAGCTGCTGGCTTCTGTTCGTGCCCCTTGGACACACAGCTGTTTCTCCAACACCGCCTTCTGTTCTTTGGTCTGCCGGCCTGGGACACGCCCCCTTGGGGCTCTCCACGGCTACCTGACCCTGCGCGTCCACGTCAGCCCGGAGACCGGGCTTACCTTCCGGAGACAGTGTTCCCGGGAGCAGAGCGCGGACGTTCCCGACATGCGGGCTGCTGGCAGTTGGCTCGGGCGGTAAACCGGGGGCAGCTGCCGTCCAGTCTCTCTTGGCCTGTGGCGGGGAATCCGGCGGTGCCAGCGCCTTCCTCTTCTGAGCTGGCAGCATCGTCGCTTCCATCACCCTGAGAGAAACAGAAGGCAGAGAGAGAGACAGAGATTTCTCGGGGGGGTTCTGTGACACGTACCGAGGCCATTAAATGGTCGAGTGGAGCAAATATACAAATCCA